AAAGAAACGACGATTTATTAAAAAAAAAAATGGCGTACTAAGACGCACTTAAACATGTTCAGCCTTAGTTTATGACTACATCATTCGGCTTTCTATAGTCATTTAATGGAAAACGTACCTGAATTTATTTAAGATGTTCAGCACCTCATTCACTCATGAATGAATGAATAAAATTTGAAAATTGTTTTTTATTTAAAACTTAATTTTATTACCCAGGTGTACGTGCGCATAATACCTAAAACTCCAAATTTTTTTTTTTTTTAATTTTGAAATCATTTGCATTAATGAGACCCATTGAGTCATTTATTAATAATAATAATAATAATTTTTTATTTATTTATAATAATCCTCCATCTTGTTAATAAAAAAAATTTTATTTTTTGCTGAAAATTTAAATTTTTAGGTAGTGAAAGTTTTTTTCTTTTTTTTTTTCTTTCATTTCCCCGGGGGGAAATCGGGAGGGGGGGGTAATCTTTATGACGTGGAGGGTGAAATATTTAATTATCATTAATCTACTTTGCTTATGGGTAAAAAATATTAAGGAAATAATAATTAAAATATTTCTATTATTGATTATACATATCATTATTCTTAGAAAAAGAAGGGGAGGGGAGGGGAGAAGAGGGGAAGGAAAACCGTTTTAAAATCTATAAATAAAAAATATATATCACGTAAATAAATAAAATTATCATTATTGTTATTGTTATTATTGTATTAATAAGCTGAGCTTTCACTTTCTTTTAAAAAACAAAACAATTCCCGCCTAGTTTTATCTAATTCCACTTTTGTTTCGGACGTGAATTTTTTTTTTTTTTTTTTTTAAAATAATTTACTGTTATTAAATTAATTATTTTTAAATTTAATTAATAAATATCCGTTATTGGCGTTAATGTTAATTTTACATTTTTCTTTTTTCAAAATATTTATTTGTTAAATGACGTGTTTTGAAATATCATTTAAATAGTATTTGATATGAGTACTACTCAAATGATTATTTAGTAAAAATGGTGACCAAGAAAGAATATGATGATGATGTTACATTTAAAAAAGAATCTAAAATTAAAGGTATTTTATTTTTTTGTCATTATTTTATGATAAAAAGGATTTTTTAAGTTTTTTCATTACGATTTAAATATAAATTCGTTATGTATTTAAATTCAACTGCTGCTTTGAAATTTTTAAATAATAATTTTACCTTACATATTATTATTATGTTGTAGTATTATTATTATTATTTTATTTTGTGTTATTTGAATTTTAAAAAATTCGTTAATAAAATGTTATTAAAGTATTCGAAGTAGTACAAATTTCCTTTATTATTCCATTTGATAAATATTATTTAAAATTTAACCTAACTACGAGTAATAATTAAAAAATTTGCTTGTGATTAAGCAACATTTATGTTACAGTAAAAATGTTGTAAAATTTTGATTAAATATTTTAAATGTACACATCTGGAGTTTTTTTTTTTTTTTTTTAGTAGTATTATTATTCAAAATTTTATTTTCAGTTTCGAGGAAAATGACAGAAGTTGAAAGCAGTGAACCAGGTAGCACCAAATCGGCTCTTGTTATTGTTATTTTTATATTTTTAATATCTCTGTCGTTATTAGTTTGGATTTACATGAGTTTTCCAAAATTAGAAGAGTAAGTTTGTTTCTATTAACTATTATATCTAATTTTTACATCTGAAAAATATTAAAAAAACAAATCAATTAATAATTAAATTGAGAATAATTTTTTTTTTTTTAAATTTAATTTAATATTTTATTATTATTATTAATATCGTTGCAGGAATGAAAAATCAGTAGTTAAGTTGCCATTACATATGGAAGATGCTAAAAATTTAGGAAAAGTATTAGATAAATATAAGGATAAATATTACAATCAAGTTTTGGCCTTATTTTTTATTACTTATTTATTGTATCCTTTTTTTATTTTTTTTTATCATTAATTTATTATTAATATCGAATTTAATTTAATTTTATCAATGATTAATTTTTTTTTTCTTAATTTGTTTAAAATAGTTTACAGACTTTTGCCATTCCAGGATCCATTTCACTTTCCATTCTTTCAGGTTTTTTGTATCCATTCCCTTTTGCTCTAATGTTAGTTTGTTTTTGCTCGGCAACAGGAGCTTCATTATGTTATTTACTTTCTTCGTTATTGGGGAAAAAATTGGTGGAAAAATATTGGCAGGAAAGAGTGGCAAAGTGGTCGAAAACAGTAAGTGTTAGTTTAATTCTTATTAAAATAATTATTTTTAAAAAGGAAAAAAGTGGGACACTGACAATTATTATTTAAATGTTTAATTTATATTTAGGTTAATAAACACAGAGACAGTATACTGAATTACATGTTATTTTTACGAATGACACCATTTTTACCAAATTGGTTTATAAACATAGTTGCCCCTTGCATTGATGTTCCATTGTTTCCATTTTGGTTGGGAACATTTTTAGGAGTTGGTCCTCCATCATTTTTAGCAATTCAAGCTGGACAAACGCTTCATCAATTATCAGCAGAAGAATTTTCATGGTCATGGAAGTCTGTATCTCTTTTAGGTATGATATTTCAATATGGAGCATTACAACTGCATTTTAATTTTTTATAAATTTATTAAAAACTTTTTTTTCTTTTTTTCTTTTTTTTTTAGGTATTTTTGCATCTTTATCATTACTGCCAGTATTTTTAAAAAATAAAATAAAAAGAAAGTTTGATTAGAATTTATTTTTGTCTAGTCATCATAATTATAAGTTTGATCGATTAAGATTTATTATCCAGTGATTAGGTTAAGTAATTAAATATAGCCTTTAAATGTGTTTAAATGTGAAATTTTAAATACACCATTTTTTTTTTTTTTTAACTTTTTTTTTTTTTTTTTTCACACAAAAAATCATTAAATCATTTAAAATTTACATTGTGATCATTAAGAAAACATATTTTACTTTGAAAAAAAAAAAAAAAAAACTATTTTTTGTATTTTGTAATGGGAAAAAATTTAAGTATAGTTATTTATATATTTTATTAATAAAATTTGTTATTATTTGTTATTGTGAATCTATAAGAAAAATTTGAAAAATTTAAATCCAATTAATTAGTTTTGTATCATTTTATTATTTATATAAAAAAAAAGTGTGATTTTTATTTCTAATTATTTTCTTTACATATGGGGGCACTTAGTTTTTTTTTTTTTTTTTTTTCTTAATGATTAATAATTTTTACTTATTTTAATTGAGTAAATTGTTATTAATTAAGTAAGCATTTTGTTTTCCATTAAATTTTTAACATTATGTAAATTTTTAGACTTGTTATGACGTCTATGTTTTTCATAGAGTGTGTTTACGTCTGTGGTTATGGCGGAAAGTTAATGAATATGAGAGATTCTTCAATTAGTAGTAATGTCGGTTCCATTTTATGAATTAGATTTTAATGAAAAGATTGAATATGTTAGTTTATCAATATACGAATGGTCACAAAATTTAATATGTATCGCTTTTAAAAATAAAATCGTTGTGGGAATCATAAAGTTTCAGGTAAATTAAACATTTTTTTCTTCACCGCTTTTTAATACTTGGCCGGTTAGTTATTACACAAAGTAAAGTTTAAAATTACTCATTGATATATATTTTTATAGGAAGAATTTGAAGATATTGAACATGAAGTTGAATTTGAACCAGTTGAAGAATTTTATCATGGGCAAAAAGTTAATGCCATTTCTTGGAACTCTAATACTTCATTACTTAAAATTCCCAAAACTATAGAAATATGTGTTGCAAGTAGTGATAACAGTTTAAGAGTTTTTTCAAGCGATGTTTCTACTAGACATCATTCTAGAAAGGTTTTTTTTTTTTTTTAATTCATCTTAAAATACCTTTTTTAAAAATTTAAATATTTTAATACTTTTATGTCTCGAGTAGGAAATTCAGGGCCACATGGATTACATTAATGATTGTGCATTTGATCTTGAAGGAGATTATTTAGCGTCTGTGAGTGATGATTTAACATGTAAGCTATGGTCTGTTAATCATCAATTTCAATTATTGAAAACATTTAGTCTAAGCTCACCAGGTATCCAATTACAATTAGACTCATTAAAAAAACCAGCCTTATTAATTTTTGTTTTTTCATTCTTAGTAATTAAAATTATTTGTATTTGTAGGAATGTGTTTGACATGGAGACATGAAGATCCAGGAAAATTATTAGTAGGAGAAAAAGCTGGTATAATTAGATTATACAATGTATTGACATTAACACCTCTTAGTTGTATTATGAGTGGCATAGTTCCTCTCACTGGTATTTCAATGAGTTGTCAATCAAAAGTCATTGTTATTTTAGCATCAGGAGAATTAATCGCAACCGATTTTAATGTTGCATTGTTAGTAAATTATTTCGACTGCTTATTTGAGTTTTTATTAATTAATTAATATTTATGTAATTTAATTTTTTTTTTTTCTAGACAAACTACTGATTCTAAAGTAGTACATCCCGGTGGAGGATACAAAATTCAGTGCAGTCCAAGTAATGAGAATTATGTTGCGACTGTTGGTCGTCCTGGTAATACATTAAAAATCACCAATATTAAAAGCAAACAAACGTTAGTTACTGCAAATTTAGAGGTGAGCAGTTTTTTAGATATAAATATCTTTCTTGTACTAAATGTTAATGAATCATATCGATTTGGTAACAATAATTTAATTTTAATCTAAAAAAATTATTTGTATTTTTCAGGTGTTTGCCGGTTTTAGCTGGCACAATAGACTACCCTGCTTATGTGTCGGTAATAATTCTAAACTATCAATTTTTAAAATATTACCAAAATAATCTAAAATCTATTAAATTGCCATCATTAAAATCATTTGAAGTAATTTTAATTTTATTTTTTAAATACTAATAAAATTTTTCTTACATTTTTCACTACTTTAAATTAAATTTTTTTTTTTTTTTTCTACAAAAAATTTCCAATATAAATTAGTTATTTTTAATTACTTGCGATAAAATCAAATTTATAACTTTAAATTTATTTAAAATTTTAGGTATTGATTGATTGATTGATTGCTAATTAAAAATGAAAAGTAATTAGTATGATTTTTTATAAATGGCTATTCGGTTAGCAGAAAACACAAAAATATTCATTTTTTGGTAAAAGTAAGTTTTAATTTTTACTCTACTCTTTAAATTAAATACCTAAAAAATTAAAATTACCTTAATTTAATTTAAGGACAATAATTATTGGAGACAAGTTATGAATTAACTTTTTTTTTATTAATTATTTCTATATTTAATTTTTAATCAGAAACGAAATTTTTAACGTATGTTTTAAGTTGGTAGCAGTGCCAAAATGAATTACTCTTAGTTGTTTAGTTTTATGATTTTCTTAATGATGATAGAATAAATTGATTATAACTGAAACAAGTATTGAATTATGAGCAATATTTCAAGAAATGGTTTTGTTCATTCCATAAAAGTTCCACGTATTTATAAAACTGCTTCTCTAATTGCACAAAAAGTTTACGAAGGTGGAAGTTTAAAAGATCTTGTTTACAAAAGTGGTCATAAGGTAATATCACGCGTTTATTTTATATAAAATTATTTACTTGTTACAAAATTACTTGACCGTGTATTATTATTATTATTAACTAATAAAAAAAAACAAAAAATTTTTTCCTATTTTTTTACATCGTAGAATATTAAAGGCGTTTATGCCTTAGTCGTAAAAGCAATTCAATATAATCATGAGTTAGATGAACTCATGAAGAAATCAAAATTGTTAAAAAACGAAAGCCGTTTACAACCATGGTTAGCAAAAATATTAATCACTGAATTATTTTTCGGTAAAAAAGAATTAAAAGGTGAAAGCAAACCCGTTCAAACAATTTTAAACTATAAGAAAAATTTAGAAAAATTATTAAAGAAAATAAATTTTAATTTGAAAAACACTTGTTCTAAAGGTTTGTATAACTTTTTTTTTTCTTTTTTTTTTTTTTTTTTTTTGAAATTTAATATAGATTCATGAAGGAGTAAACAGACAAGATATTGATTCATCTCTCCAAAAATAATCTATTATTATAAACAAATTATAAAAAAATTTTGTGTGAAGAACTAACAACTAACGTAATCTACGATAAATTTAAGTATATAAAGGATCAAAATGGAAAGTACTGGTAGTGTGATTTTAGTTTTTTTATTATATAGTGCTGCAATGTTTGTTCTTCCTCTGTTTACTTATTTTGCAGTTCATAAACTTTTAAAAGATGAATTTAATATTGTCGGATTTCCAAACAGAGCATGGTAAGTTGCTTTATTAGTTTCTTTTGGACAAATTTAAATTTTAATCAATGCTTTTAAATTAATATGTTTTTATTTGTTGACATAGGTCTCTCATTTGTGCTGTTATCGTAGTCAACATAATTATAATTTCATATGTTTGGAGAGCATACAAGCAAGAAGTTAACGATGAGAAGAATGATGATAGTGACAAAGTTGAAACAACTGATTCATCTGATTCAAATATAAAAAAAATTAATTAATACCCACCTATTGGTATTAGAATCAGATATACAACATGATGCATTGATGCATATAATAAATTTAATTGATCTGTCCGAATGAAAAACTTATCTGAATTATTTTTAAATTTTAAATCGATTTCGCTTACTCTTTATACTTATAATTATATTAACATGATATCTTACCCAAAAGTGTAAACAAACTTATTTATATTTAAATTATAATTTTTTTTTTGTAATAATTAACTTTAAAAAGTTTTTAAAATGTGAGTGTGTGATCATTAGATAAAAATATCTTCTATTTATTTCTATTTTTACTAGTGTATACAAAAGTGATGTAATTAATGTGTATTGTAATAAAAAATTATTATTAAAAAGTGTAATTTCCAATTTTGTTTTTTCAGTTTTCGAAAATTATTTAAGAAAAAGAAGCATTGTAAATTTTTTATAATTTACAAAGATAGATTATATAAATTTGGAGAGATTGATCAATAATAACTAATTTTTACTAATAAAATTATTAATTTTATTGAATAATTTCATTTATATTATAAAAGTATTTTTTGTTTTAGTAACAAAGCCTAGATATGTTAGAGTGAATACATTGTACAACACGCCAGATGAAATAATTAAAAAATTTAGAAAAGATGGATGGACTTTTATTCCAGTACCTAATGATTATTTTGAATTCATAAAAGTCATTTCTAATTTAGGAGACGATTCATTTACAAAAGATTTTCACATAAAGGAATTGTTAGTTTTTCCCAGTAGTGTACAATTTTATGAAAATGAACTTTATCAAAATGGCAGTATTTTACTACAAGACAAGGTTGGTGGTTCACAGATTGTTTTTTTTTTTTTTCGAACCTTACAAAAATATCTATAAATTAATATTTAATATTTTTTTTTTTTCGATTAGGCAAGTTGTCTACCTGCCTTTTTGCTTAAACCTACACCAAATTCAATCGCACTGGACATGTGTGCTGCTCCTGGAATGAAAACAACACATTTATCAGCCATAATGAGAAATAAGGGAACAGTTTATGCGAGTGAAATGGATCCCAATAGATATCAAGTTTTATGCGACTTGATTAAAAATTCTGGATGTAATAATGTGATCACATTAAACATAGATGCTCTTAAACTAAATGCAGATGCAAATGATTCTCAAATGGAATGGTGTAAAGATGTCGAATATATTTTAGTCGATCCTTCATGTTCTGGATCAGGTACAAAATAAAACTATTATTTTTTTTTTCTGCCATGCAATAAACAAAAACCTATAATCAAATTCGATTGTTTATTATTTCAGGTATCGTCGACAGAATGAATATATTCGAGGGTGAAAAGAAAAATAATAAAAGGATAAAAAAATTATGCGGTTTTCAATTTAAATTGTTACTGCACGCTTTAACCAAATTTCCAAACGCCAAGCGAGTCGTTTATTCAACTTGTTCGGTGCTAGCAGAAGAAAATGAAAAAATAGTCGAAGATGTTTTGGCGAAGTTGAATGAATCGACGCCGGATGACGAAGGTAATGAAAATTTTTTAAATTTTAATTTAGTCGAACCTTTAAAAGATGTTTGGATACGTAGAGGATCCGACAGGTATCCTCACGGTAAATATTGTATTTTTTCCGATCCCGAACATGATTTGACTAACGGTTTTTTCATAGCCGTTTTCGAAAGAACCGTTAACGGTTAAATTAACGTTCCAAAAATTCAGTCATGCCAATTTTTTTTTTTTTTTTTCTATGACAATAATTTATTTTTGAAAGGAAAAATGAGAAAAAATGATAATTTCCTTTTTTTTAAATATAAATTTTAATTTAATTATTATTAATTGTGCAAAAAAATACAAACAAACAAACACACACTTGAAAACAAACAGTATAAATAGATAAAATGCAAAATTTTTTTTTTTTTTTTCGCTTGTACTTTAGCCTAAAATTATTTAGTATTCATTTTGAATTTGACATAACAAAAAATTTTAAATTTAAATTTAAATTATTGAAATTGTTATTAATCATGAAATTATTAATTTAATTTAAAAATCAATCATTACAAATTATTATTATAAATAAGAAAAACAAAATAATAACCGGGTAAAATTAAAATTTAGACTAGAATTTTTTACATGAGACATGAGCATTTTAATAAATAAATTAATTAATTAAATTTATTTTCATTTATTTATTACAATAACTAACCGAGTGATATTTTAAAAAAAAAAATTACATAATATATATATATATATATATATATATATTGCATAATTGTTTTTAACGTGCACATTTATTGACAAAAAAATAAAATAAATAAGTAAAAAGTTATTAATATAATAATAATGGGATGTAATTGTAAAGTATAGTAAAAAGAAA